ACTGGCTGCTCTCAATCTACAGCAGAATTGAATAGTTGTGACAGAGACCATATGATATGACCATGAGGTGGCAGTAGCACACATGTTTTTTTTTGTATACCGAGTGACACTCTGACAGGTTCAGAAGGGGAGACAAGATGTCTCTCACAGCAAGAATCTGTTCAGAAGCTATACCATGGGGGTTGCTATTCAGAGGTGGAGGAGGGCAAGGGAACTCCCAGGCAGAGAGGAATCAGAGAGGTGACCTTTGTGTCTGGGTGATGTTGCTCAGTGTGGCACGGAGTTGCTGGGTCTGAGAGCTCTGAGGGGCATAAGTCTTATAATTTCTAAGGCTTGGAGTCTTGTAACCTCAAGACTCCATCTTGTCAATGGCCAGCAGATGCTGGGTGTAGTTTGGAGGAAGTATGTGAAGCAAATGGGTCCTAAATGTCTAAGCATTTGCTATTTGGGAAAAGTTTAAAATAAATGAATGTGTAAAATTTGTGTGTGGTACTGGCAGGCTTTTGAGCTAACAGTTCTCATCCTACGGTGAAGAGATAACCAACCTAGGGGCCAATGCACAGAGGCCATCTTTGGATCATATATATCAACAGTAGTCCCCAACCTTTTAGGCACCAAGTACTGGTGCTCCTATGAGAATCTAATTTCTGATGATCTGAGGTGGAGCTGAGGGGGTGATGCTAGCGCGGGGGAGCAGCTGCAAATACAGATGAAGCTTCACTTGCTCGCCTGCCACTCACCTCCTCCTCCTGGTTCCTAACAGGCCATAGACAGGTCCCGGTCCATGGCTCGGGGGTTGGGGACCCCTGGTTTATATAACACGAGGTGATCTCACCTAGTTTTAAGGCTTTAAATATCTCTACGACAATGACTCTCATATTATGTCTTTAGCACAGACCTTTCCTTAAGCTCCAGGCCAATAAACACAAGTCAATACTTCCACTTGTCTAGTCACATCTTGAACTTAACTTATCCCAACCTTAGGTCCCTCTATCTCCCCTCCCAAGGCAGTCCCGCCTGCAGTATTCTCTACCTCTGTTCTTCCCAGTTGCTCAGACATAAAACCTTGGTATCATCCTTAATACCTCTCTT